GCTTTGTCAACTCGAAACTAATCCTGTAACCCTGAGTTTGTTCAGCCACCATCATGGTACAGGCCCCAGGATAATCAGGCAAAGCACAAGCATTTAACTAAAACTCACAACATCAGCCTGGATCCAAACAGAGCCTTGATTGATGACCACTGGACTTCCACACGGACATCCTGACACACATGTCTATTATTGATTATCCATTAAATGGGCTATTTGTCGAATTCAGAAACGCTTGTTATTAGCAACACCAATGGCCAATTAGTGAACTGCCTCAGATAGCGCACGGACATCTGCAAGATGTTTGTTAAACAGCGCTTCATCTGGAAAGCATCTGCTGTGTAAGAACAACTGATGAATGTCTTTAAGATGCCAGTTTTACATACATTCATAGTCATAAACACCTTAAAGATGTTTTCATTTCATTTTCTTTCATCACAGTTGAAGAGTAATTAGCTGGGGAAGATGATTTACTACCAGGCTCAGACTTAGGCTGGGACTGAGGTGATACCGGCTACTGAGAGGATGGAGCCTTTTGGTGACTTGAAACAGCTGCCACACAAGAGCACTTCGGCAGGAAGTGTCACAGAGCCTGTGATGTCTTCTGTGCTGCTGTGAAACGCTCAGCAAACCCATCCACGACAAGGCCAAACAGTCCATTGGGAGAGACTGGTGAATCTAGGAAGGTGACCTTGTCAGCGTCCCTGATCTCCACCAGATTTAGCCAAAGGTGGCGCTCCAGCACTACCAAGTTGGCTATGGCCTCGGCTGTCAATAACATATCAATGACATGGAGTCAACCGCGACAACTTTCTCCTCAGACCTGGCAAAGGAAATCGAGCCGCTCGCAGCCAACGAGGGGCGCTGATCCTCACGTGTGAAGTACACAGGCGAGTTGAGGCAAAGTTCCCAGACTTTCTGCAGTCAGTCTGAAGATCTGGCCACGTGAGACTAAAATAGATCTGGCTATGTGAGTAAGTGTGTGATGCCTAGCATTTTAAAATCTGTTCAGATTTTAAAAGTGGAGTAGTGTATTTCAGCCTTAAATTGTTATGCTTGGTGAGATTTAGGGGCGAAGGTGAGAGCATCTAAATGCAGATGAGTTTTATTCATGGAATTAACAGGTTCCAAGACCGAGAAAACTATTAACAGAAAACTATGACCATGTAACAGCCAGCAAAAGAATAACACTAGACAAAGAACATAGGCAAATAATACACAGGAGAAGGGGCTCAATAAATTGTCATGGATACAAACAGGGAAAGGAGTGTGACCAATTAATTATCATGGAGACATACAGGGATAACGATAGGAACAAACAAGGCAAACAGGGACAGCCAAACAATATAGGATGTGAACAGAGAAACATAGTAACACAAAGTACTAAACAAGAGCCCTAAATCGCAAAAACAGGGTGACAAAGTTTTTTTAGCTAAATTTTAAGTAGAAAGGGTACATCGCCATCTTGCTCTGACCAAAGTGACTTGAACGCACTTGAAGTCATAATTACGATTTAACAGAACACAAAAGAATGGAAGAGAGACTCTCTGGCGCGCATGTAAATGTAGCATCCTTTTGATTTTCCTGGGGAAAACATCCTCAGTCCTTCGAATAAAAATCTGTCTACAGGCTTTCACAGATAACCTAGGAAGCCAGGGAAGGTGTCGGTTTTTTAAGTTTCATTACAAGCTGTTCACACATTGGCAATAAAAAAAAAGGTTGATTCCAACAATGTAATTCCCACAGATTGATTATTAAAACCTCATAACTATAGTTATTGTCCTTAGCGTATATGGGCCTTTACACTTACTGTTTCCAACCATGGGCACGTTTACCTCCTATAGGTTTAGAGGAGAAAAAGGGATTGATTTTGCTAGATCGCTCATCTGTAATGAGTTAAAGGGGTCATATGATGCGATTTCAATTTTTCCTTTCTCTTTGGAGTGTTACAAGCACTTGGTGCAAAAAGAAGATCTGTAAAGTTGCAAAGACTAAAGTCTCAAATCCAAAGAGATATTCTTTATCAAAGTTAAGAGTCAGCCACACCTACCTAAAACGGCTCGTTCTAACACGCTCCCACATATCTACGTCACGATGTGGGAAGATTTGCATAACGCCGCCCAAATATTCACGCAAAGAAAGAAGGCGTAACTTTTATTCTCGCTGTCGTATTGTTGTTGCTACTGCCATGTCGTGAAGGCGCTGTGTGTTTCGTTGTGAAAGCGAAACTACTTTGTTTGGCCTTCCAAAAGAGGATGATATCCGCTTCGTCATGCCTAGAGCTGATCCGTGCTGGTCGCTGAGGAAATACAACAACTTCGCGCTGTGGATCGCCGGATCGGCTTTCACCGTGGACGAAGCGGAGTCCAGCCCCTGGGTTATCACATGTGGTTGCCGCAAGCCCTCCGGACGCTCCTTTGTCGAATCCGCCGCCTCTGCTCACTCTAGCCCTCCGGCCGTTCCTCACTCTAGCCCCAGGCCTCTGCTCACTCTAGGCCGCCGTGTGTGACGCTGTGTTTCGTTGTGAAAGCGAAACTACTTTGTTTGGCCTTCCAAAAATGGACACGACTAGAAATCAGTGGTTAAGTTGTATTTACAACACTGTTTCAGAACACTTCAACCCAAATGTTCAGATGTGTGCAGCACATTTTATGGAGGACTGTTTCCTGATCCTGGTAGAGTAGACTACAATGCCGGCTGTTCTGACTCACGGGGCATGAGGAGAATGTACAGTATGTGGAAAAGAATGTGTTTTTTTTAACCTCAAACCGCATAAACACATTTCATTACACCAAATAATGTTCTTTTTAGCAACATCATATGACCCCTTTAACACAATGCAAAATCCAATCTTCTCAATTCTTTTATTCATCCTGACCATTTCGTGCTTTGGAAATATTTGAAAAATGCATTGTTTGTACTGTATATAGCTTTTGCTACTGGGCACAGCTCAGCAGAAGTATTTCAATTATGGAATAACAGGTTTGACTTCATGGCCTCAAGTTCAGCAGTTCAAGTTCTCACCATTTGTCTCCTCAACAGGTTGACTGTGTTTCTGTTTGCTGCCAGATCTGATGTAGCCTATGCGTTGAAGTTCATGGTTGAGGAGAGATGCACAATTAATTTATTTTGTTTATTGCAGGCTAAGTCTATTTTTATTCTTATTAGGGGTAAGTAAAGAATTCTTTAATACAGTTAACATTATATGACCACAAACTCAGAATTTTTCAAAACTAGGCTATACATCTCCTACACCCTATCTACACAAATCTCTTCATGTTCTCACTGAAGCCTGACTTGCCTTAGGTATGTGTAAACAATGAAAACATTTGTAAAAAATGCAGTGGAGTGAGTAAAAAAACAAAAAAATATACATACATATTCAGTTACAAAGACACAAAAATGTGTCTTTAAGGGTAAACTTAAATGGACATCTCTGTACCTAATTGACCCCTAAAAGGTTGGTAGTAGTACCTTAAGGGTATATATATTACTGTTGTATGGTGCTGATATCCATTTTTTAAGGGGTAATTATGTGTACTGCCCAAGTGACAAGCTGTCAACCTAAATGTAAAATTTTTGCAGTTCCTGACAGTGTCCTAAATAAGCTTGTCTTATGACTCTCTATGAGATTTGCCAGCATATGAATTTTCAATAAGGGGCGTTTATGTTCTGCCTTTTGTACAAATGTGATGTTTTATGTATTTGCTTAACCATATACACCCAGACATATGAAATAATAGTCATATATTTTAAGACAATATATTATTAAAAGTTTGTACATGTGTTTTTTTGTTGAGTGTCATTTAGGCTTTTATGGATCATATAGTGAGAATATGGAGCTCATACTAGAGGAAGAACAAAGCACAAAACACAAAAGGTGCGTCCCAAATCGCGGACTTATGCACTATTCTATGATGTTTTATAGTATAAAGAGTGTGAGTAGTGGGTTCACACTGAAAATTCCAAAAAGAAAAAGTAGACTTTAAACACCCAGATGATGCACTTAAATAACCGTGTGGAATGTTGGACACTTCATGCACTCAATTGTCGCAGCTTTAATTACGTGCCGAAGGGGAAGGGACTATCAGACTCCGATTATGAATGGCAAAATAACCTTATATAATTCACACATGGTTGAGTACATAGTGCATAATGAGTGCATAATGTATAGTGCGTCATTTGGGATGCAGCTATAGTTTTATTAAGAGGCCCAAACTGAGAAAAAATATGCTAATTGGTGCAGTTGCTTATATTTATATGGTAAAAAAGTAAAATGAAATTCTGATAACATGTAGTGTAAATCGAGTAGCAGACATAAAATGCATATAAATAGCCTATCAGTTGTCACTCACTATCTCCCAATAATATGTCTTAGTAAGATGATATTTAAATGCTTAATTGTATGATCAAAGCTCAGTAATTTTTTTATTGGGGGGAAAAATGCTATGCAATACAATGACGACTGAGAGATGAACAGAGAAACATTCCTCTAAAGCCTGTATCAAATTGAAAAAAATGATATATGGATAATCAAGTAAACTATGTTGCTTCAGAGTCCCGTAAGTATGAAGGATCTTGAAATATTACTGACAATGTAAAAATTATTCTTATGTTTAATTTCTAAAATTCATTAAAGATTTCACAGCAGGGTCATTTGTGTTCTGGTTCTAACTAGAAGCTTTATTTTTAGTGCTTATAATTAATGATTTATTATTATTATTAATAATTATTAATAATTTAGTTGATTGCTCTCAGTGTCCTTAAGTAAAAACTGCACTGATTATTTGCACTAATATTTGAAAATATCTTATTGGGATTTACTAATATTCACGATTAGCCAAATTCAAAAGTGTAAAGTATACTGTGAAAACAGTGGCTACAAAATTAACAGTTAAGGCAACTGTAATTTATTAATAAAATAATGAATCATTTAATAATAAAATAACAATGAATAATTTCTTAACAAAATAATTTCATGTTCAATTCCAAGTTCCCATGGCTCAAAAATAGATAATTCTCTTCAGGTTTCAGGACAATAAACAACTTTATTATGGACGATACATTGTTCTCTTAGACAGATTTCCATAAGCACAAATTTATTTAAATTGTAATTTCAAGAGTAATGGAGTTCATTTACTGGAGAGCGCGAGTTACAGAAATTGAGAAACAAAAGTTTTTTAGTTTTTTTTGGAATATGCAAAGTGTTGAGCTCCCACCTTAATTATTTAATTCAAATTAAAGATTTATATAGCTTTATTTCTAATGTAAGAGCTAATTCCCTTTAATGTCCCATATAATGTACTGCATATGCTAGTTTATTCAGTGATGAAGTGACAGATGGCCGCTTCAGAAAAAGGCCTGGAGGACTGCTGGGAGAGAGAGCAGAAGGATGTAAGTGAGAGAGAGGGGCGAGAATGCCTCTGCCCCATCCAGAATAGATGGGACGTTGTAGATAGTGTTAGTCAGGAAGTTGCTGAAGGGAGTGGTCTGGATGAAGACTGTGCTGTTGGAGAATGGGTCGATCTCACTGCCAGGGGGAATGGACAGAATACCAGTCTGAATCCACATGTCGTTCATTCTACACAACAGAGGACTGCCGTCATCGTCCTGAATGAGAGTGAGCCAGAAAGACTGTTACAAATGTCATACTAAACATACAGTGCAAGATTTCTAAGAAACATTATAATTGTACGCAGTAACTCAAAGTCTGAGAAATCAAACGACAAGACTAAAGGACTGAAAAAAAGGACTCTGCAAATACCTGCTGAACCTCCAAACGCTCTGTGCAGATGTTGACCTGTGTGGTGTGTGAAGGATCGCAGTTTACAATGGTGGTCTGCAATTCCTGAAAAGGTAGATCTGTACAAGAAGAAAGAAAAGCACATTAGAAAGAAACAAATTTGGGACGTCATTGAATGTATTGACATAGAAAGTCTGAATAAATGATTATGTGAACTCACATGTACCAGCATCTGAGTCCCAACCAATTACTGAACACTGAGTACCAGGGCCAAAGCTTGGATTATACATGTCAACCGGTAAATTGCCAACTTGAGAAAACGGATGAGTCAATTGCAGGAGTGCTACACCGTTTCCTAAAACATCGTCGAAAAAGACATTTTCCACACCGGATGCAATTGGCATGCTGGAGCAGTCTGGTTGGACAACATTGAGGACGACTTCCCATCCATCCGTACCCATGAATCTGAAAAATAAGATATGTTGAATGTGAGCGCACAAGTCATCAGTTTTTAGGCAACTGATTTCATATGAAATTAAGTTTTTCTGAAATGATTACCTGGCAAAGCAGCTAACAGAGGTCATGACGAATAGGTCAGAGACCAGAGTTCCTACACACATTGGATAATTGCGATAAGTTACACTAGCCATCCATGGCCATGAACCTGCAGAACCTCCACACACTGGCACTGGAGAGAAAAGCAAGAGAGAAGGAGAGGTAAATGTAAATGGCAGCTAAAGGGGAAGTGTAAGCAAGCTGTAAGACCGTTTCGATGATGGATCATTTAATTTTGCTTTGTCATGGTGATGTTCAGAAACATACCTGATGTAGGACAGGTCTCATCCAGAACGGGCGCAGTGGAGGTAAAAGGGATGAAGCTCGCATTGTTCATGCCCACATGCTGAGTGATCCAGTTCTGGTAGTTGGACACTCTGGCGTACACACCAGGAAGATTAGGCAGAGCACAACCTTTACCGAAACTCACAACGCCAGCCTGGATCCATGTAGAGCCCTGTCTGATGACCATTGGACCTCCAGAGTCACCCTGTGCAGCGAAATGAAATATTAACATATTAATAAAACGTACAAAATATTATTGCATTAAATGGTACAAGCAATGTACTATTGATACCTGGCAGGAATCTTTTCCACCTTCCAATGGTCCAGCACACATCATGTTTTCTGTTATTCCTCCATTAAGGCAGTCACACTTAGTGTTTCCAACCATGGGCACATCCACCTCCTGCAGGTTTTGAGGTGAAGGAAGGGGTACTGCGAAACAGTGAATGAGGAAAAACTCATCATCAGCGCTCAGATAACAGGCAGAGATCCTTTTGAGTAATATATTGATCTTAAGAAGCAGAATCATTGACATTAACATGCTTTTTTATTTTTATTTTTTATATATATTGTTCAGTTAACGTTTTAGTGAATTTTGTGCTGTTTTCATAAATAAAATATAAATAAAAATGTAAATGAGTTATTATTAATCTTTATTTCAGTTTTAGTATTTTTTATGAACATTTTTAAAAAAGAAATAAAATGTTTCTTTGCCAACAAGCTAAAATATTTGAACTTTTTTATGGTTTATGGTTTAACTAATTTTTTATGGTTTTAGTTGTAGTTAACTATAATAACTCTGACATTCTCGGCATGAGTGTCAAAGGTTCATAATGTTTCTGAGATTACATGCTTTTACGTTATGACTTTAACAAATCCCAAGTCTTTAAAATTTTAAAATCTCAACTCCTTTAAATTTAAATGTATCTTTTTTTTCCTTTCTTTTTTTTGCCTTGATTTTAGAAATATAAAAATGCTTTTGGGTCACACTTTCTTTTAAGCTCCAATTCTCACTATTAACAAACCATTAACAATGACTTTTGCCTCAATAAACTCCTAATTACTGCTTATTAATAGTTAGTAAGGTAGTTGTTGGGTAGAATTAGGGATGTAGAATAAAGTCATGTAAAATAAATGCTTTATAACTATTTTTTTTATATATATTGTTCAGTTAACGTTTTAGTGAATTTTGTGCTGTTTTCATAAATAAAATATAAATAAAAATGTAAATTAGTTATTATTAATCTTTATTTCAGTTTTAGTATTTTTTATGAACGTTTTTAAAAAGAAATAAAATGTTTCTTTGCCAACAAGCTAAAATATTTGAACTTTTTTATGGTTTATGGTTTAACAAATTTTTTATGGTTTTAGTTGTAGTTAACTATAATAACTCTGACATTCTCGGCATGAGTGTCAAAGGTTCATAATGTTTCTGAGATTACATGCTTTTACGTTATGACTTTAACAAATCCCAAGTCTTTAAAATTTTAAAATCTCAACTCCTTTAAATTTAAATGTATCTTTTTTTTCCTTTCTTTTTTTTGCCTTGATTTTAGAAATATAAAAATGCTTTTGGGTCACACTTTCTTTTAAGCTCCAATTCTCACTATTAACAAACCATTAACAATGACTTTTGCCTCAATAAACTCCTAATTACTGCTTATTAATAGTTAGTAAGGTAGTTGTTGGGTAGAATTAGGGATGTAGAATAAAGTCATGTAAAATAAATGCTTTATAACTATCAATAAACAGTCAATATGTTAATAATAGGCATGCTAAAAAGCAACTGCTTAATAGTGAGAACTGCATGGTCCCTATGCAAAAGTGTTACCTGCTTTTGTTTTTGAGAATGCATCTCAATTAAAAAAAATATATATTCAAATCATGCTACAACAGGCTTGGTAATCGCCAGTGTTTTAACTGCTTTCACTATGCTTATGCACTGATGCAGAGTTGAATGGTTGCATCATATATGCCATATATGATATATTATATGGCATAAAAAGTAAGAGCAGTATAATACTACGATTTACTGAATTCAAGCTTTGGGTATTGCTTTGGGTGAAAAACTTTGAAGAAGAAAAACTTTGAGTATTAAATGAATTAAACTGTCAAACTGGTATGTATGGATGTATCAAAAGCCCGCATCAGACCTCAAGCGTCTTCTGGCATGCATTCAAAATTGATCTTGCTTCTTACCGCCTGAATAAATGGTTCCCCATCCTGTGACCCACATCGTGTCACTGTTGAATATGCTTCCCTCTGCTGCCAGACAGACTGGTTGGATAAAATTAGTGAAGGTCACAGGTGAGGACAGACGCAGCAGAGCCATGTCATTGTTATTGGGAAGGTTGTCGTATTCTGGATGAAGTATGACTTGAGAGACGGACACTGACACCTCGTTTGGATTGGATAGTTCTTGACTCTGTCGACCCAGGTACACAGTATAGACCGCAGGATCGGGGGTACTACAGCGAGGACACGACCAAGTGTTTACAATCACATTCATTAGCAAGAAGGAATCATGTTCTTGAAGATGTTTGTGTGGGTTACCTTGGAAAGCAGTGAGCTGCTGACAGAACCCATTCAGTGTTGATGAGTGATCCACCGCAGAAATGACTCCCATCCTCATGAAGGCTGACCTGCCATGGCCAAGCGCCGGCAGACGCGTCCTCTCCTCCAACGATTTTCGTGTTGAGGGGCGCACTGCCACACGCTTCAAACAAGAGAGGGAAAAGACCATCACACTAATGCTCCAAGAAAAAGGTGAATATGCTACTCGGTAAATTGTATTATTATGTGATGAAAAAATATTTACCAAAAGTTTGGCAGTCACACCCTGGAGGAGATGACACAAGATCAAATGTTAAAAAGAGACAACTGCTCTTCACCAGTACCATCAAGTAGCCGAGGTAGTAGCTACACGTGAGACTCATTTTATCTGCTTAATAAGTCATCTTTGTAATCCCAGATATAAATTGGAAGATAATATATAGTAATTTCCCATAAAATGAAAAACAATCTATTCAAGCTAATTATTTAGAAACGGACTCTATTAATTAAAGTATTTTTAAACACACAATGAGTAATCATAACTTGAGTGTTTGTGTGTGTGTGTGTTTGCATCTAAACTTATATATAAATAATTATAGCATATGTTATAGCATCAATAAATATAAATAATACAACTTGTAAAAAAAAAAATGATTGCCTTGAAAAAATGGATGTGCAAAAAATTTTTTAAATATGAAATTATCTATATGGCAGTATACAGTAGTATGTGTTAGTTTTGCCAGTGGTATTGAAAATTAGTTGTCATAAAATCAAAAATGACCCTACTTACTTTTTACTGCACATTACTAGTCTTGTGGTGAACAATTGAACCGTGCAAGTCAATTCACCAAATATTGAATGAATATGAACGTTGCATTATTCGCGGTCTGAAAACACTGCATCTTTTTTGTTAATTTGACCAGTTGTCATTTTCTATGAATAAATGCTCTAAATGACATTGTTTATTTGGAATTTGAGATAAATGTTGTCAGTAGTTTATAGACTAAAACAAAAATGTTAATTTTACTCAAACACATACATAAATATTAAAACCAGAGAAACTGATAATTTTGCAGTGGTCGCTTAATTTTTTCCAGAGCTTTATAAGTAAGGCTGACAATTAAATTAAGTAAATAGTTTTACTGTGTGGAGACGTGCTGAAATCACGTTTGGTCTCGTACTGTATCGCGTACCTTGTCAGTGTCGTGTGCTTTGCTTGGACATTTGTTGTGATAAACAGTAAAGTGTGTTCAAGCGCCAGCAAAACACAATGTAAAGAAATACGCTTTGAGAGAAGCAGTCAATCAGCAGAAGTTAAAAGCAGCTCGTAAGTGTATTTATTTCTTGTCTCAGTGTTTAGCGCAGTTGTCGTTGTTAGGAAACGCTTGTTTTGTTTACTGTGTGGAAACATGCTGAAATCGTGTTTGGTCTCGTACTGTATCGCGTACCTTGTCAGTGTCGTGCGCTTTGCTTGGCCTTTTTTTTTTTTAATCAATTTTTTATTATTTTGACATTGTTTAATATACAGAATAACACAGACAAACAATCAGCTTTGCAACAGAAAAAACAAACAAAAAACAAAGACCATGATAAATGAAATAGAAGTATATCTATAAAAAAATATAATAATAATAATAATTTGGTTAAAACTAATCAGTTAAACTGAAGGATGAATGGCCGAAATATACGAAACAATATTTAAACCGTAATATACTCCCAAATATACAAAGTACAAAGACTATACATGTACAAAAGATTATGTAAAAAGAAATATATACCCATACAAAAATCTTGACATACAAACAACTGGAACAGCACTGAAAGAAGTCTACGTCAATAAAAAAAAGAGGCAATTATAACCCAAACAGGGAAACTTAAACATGACTCTAAATCAATATATATGAAAAAAATATATATAAAATAATAAAAAAAAAAATAAAAAAAAGCCCAAGACCAGAAAGTGTGTATTTGGGAGGGGGGTAAATCTCCTTAATTCAAGTTAATAAACCTTTAAGCTTCTCTAAAGTATGAGCCCAAAGTCTAATGGTGTCCTCTCTGGCGCCATGAAGGCGAGCAGTGGACAATTCAAGATACACCACGTCTATAAAAGTGAGAACCCAGTATTGCTTATTAATAGAATGTGGAGGCTTCCATCTTGTTGCAACAATTTTCTTGGCCGCTGTCAAGCCAGCTAAAAAGACTCGCTTCTGCATTTTGTTAAGTTGGATGTCCGAAAGATAATTTAAAATAAAGACAGAAGGGGACAAAGGGATTGAGACATTTAATATAGTGGACAGATTTTCTTTAACCATATTCCAAAAACTGGCAA